GGCTGGAAAATGGTTAAGTTTTCCTTTGGACCCCCCCCCCCCCCCTACTGCTAGATGCTTTGATGGGTGAGCAATTGGGATGCATTAATGAGGTTTTAACAATTCTGTCAATGCTTTCAGTGCCGTCAGTGTTCTTCAGGCCTAAAGATAGGATAGAAGAGAGTGATGCGGCAAGGGAAAAAAATTTTGTTCCAGAATCTGATCATTTAACCCTTCTCAATGTTCACCAGCAGTGGAAAGAGCATGATCATCGGGGAGATTGGTGTAACAATCACTTTTTGCATGTTAAAGAATTGAGAAAGGCTAGAGATGTGAGGTCCCAGCTACTGGATATTTTCAAGCCGTTGAAAATCCCATTAATTCCTTGTGGACCTGATTGGGATGTGATTCGAAAAGCCATTTGGCCTGCATATTTCCACAATGCAGCAAGACTGAAGGGTGTTGGGGAGTATGTCAATTGCAGGAACGGAATGCCTTGCCATTTGCACCCAAGCAGTGCTTTATATGGCTTGGGTTATACACCGGACTATGTTGTTTGCCATGAATTGATCCTATCGATGAAGGAGTACATGCAGTGTGCCACAGCAGTGGAGCCGCAATGGCTGGCTGAGCTAGGACCTACGGTTTTCTCTGTGAAGGAATCAGATATGTCAATGTTGGAGCATAAGAAAAAACAGAAGGAAGAGAAGACGGCAATGGAAGAGGAGATGGAAATTTTGAGGAAGGAACAATTAGAGGCGGAGAGAAAAAGCAAGGAGAAGGAAAGAGAAAAGAGGAGGAAGCAACAACAACAGATTTCAATTCCAGGAATGGGCCGAGGTTCTTCCACATATCTGCGACCTAAGAAGTTCGGCTTGTGAATTCGTCTCAGTAGATTGAAACATAGATTTCTCTCAATTTTTACAGAAGATGTAAACTTTTTTATACAAGTATAATTAGTCTAATTGTAAAATGATTAAAATTTGACTTCAAAAAGATTAAAATTCAATATCAAATAAACTCTTAAGACCAAATTTGTAATATTATTCAATTTTAATTAAATTTCATTATTTTAATTATTTCATAATTGAACTGAACATACAGTTAAGTTACATGAGGTCTACAAAAATAGTTTTTATCTTTTTCCAAACATACCCAAAATGGTACTAATGGGAGATCCTGTCCGTACCCATAATGTATCACAAATAAATTCAGAACTTCAGCTGTGACTAGAATCACATAATACTTTTTATTATAGATTTACAACTCGAGTTCAAATTAAATCTGGTAAGTCCACAGTTAAAAAATTTCAACACTCAGAAAAAGAACACGTATGTTAATCCAGAGACGGTACTTTACAGGCCACCCTAATTGTTTCCTAACCCAAAAGCTTAAAAAGATATTATCCCAGAAAGGTTTTATACTATTATAAAATATTTATAAAAAAAAAAATTAAAATAATAATAATAATAATAATTCCCAGAAACTCTCATGCACTAGAATGGAAGAATCAATTTTTCTATGTTCCAGCCATCAATAATCAATTCAATGACCAGCCCAGCCCTAGTTCCGGTAATCGTATGTTTTATTCCCTCTAATGAATGAATAGGTCACATTCACAACAGTAAAAAATTTCTATAAAGAACATCATTCATACAGATAAACTATGCAACAGAGCTAACTGTCTCGGATAAATCTGTCTATCTAAATGGATAATAAAAAGCTTACCACTCTTATTCATGCCTTCCCCCACAAATGATTCCTATATTATAAAAGTATTCCTATATTATTTTATTCTTTTAATAAAATGAAACCAGCAGGAACAAGGGGAAAATTTGTTTTTCTGATTTACATATAACATTTTTTCATATGTTATGCACTACAGGATGTAAACTGATCTAACTCATTCTTCGGCTCTGGTTATAGATACGTGTGTGACATGCAAGAATCTTGTTGATCCCACTATTTGTCTGTAATGAAAATTATGTATACCTAGCTTACCATAAGTGATCTCTGCAGATTCTAAATAATACCATTTTGGCAAAATCAGCGTGAACACTGGATTTCGTACCGGATCAAAAGCAGTATAAGCATCTTGTTAATCAGCTGCGAGCAGTGCTGCTGGAAAGGACCATGGCTAGATTCACTTCGTAGGCAATTATACCGTCAAATGGTACCCCTGTGGCTGTCACTGTATTCCCCTTTGTCTGGTTCACCTCTTTCTATTCCCTTATTCTTGCTGAGTATCTTCAGAAATTGTATTCTCTGCTGTGATTGTGGTTTTATATCTTTCAACTGCATCCTGAAAAATTCAAGTTTGCATGTGTATTATCAGAGAACTTGTCCAATGCTACAAAAAAAAAATATAATTGAAGGCACACATAAGGTCTTTTTCAGTTTAGTTCTCATTCAATTTCAATTTTATTCCCTTGCTTAATTACTAGTCTAAACTACATAGTTACAATTGTATTATATTTTTCATACGTGAACCACCTTCACTTTCATCTTGAATTCCCCAGGATAATTTACGCATATAAAATTCTGATTAGCAAGATTAATCAAGTAATTGAGTGAATAAGTTAAAATAGAATAGAAATTGGACCAAATGGACCATAAGATGAGGGTATGAACCTACCTTGCAATCTTTCAACTAAAAATTCAGTACATGAACATTACAATTGCATGGTCCAAGACCATATTCAGTGTTACCTTTTCAATATTTTCATGCGTTTGTATTTCATCTCTTCTTTCACCCTCAAAATTAGATGAAACTTCATTCTTTTCTGTCCAAAACATGGATGTCTTGGGATCTTCCTTCGAATCCTGACTAGAGAGTTCACCATTGACAACAACTCTAACACTTAAGGCACTTCCAGCTCCATTTTCCTTCTCAAGTACATTGGATTCTATCTCATCGCCTTTATCTGTTAGTTGACTTCCTCTTGCCAATGCTTCTTCAGTTCTGCTCTTCTCTTCTTCTCTTTGTCGTCTTCTCCTTGCTTCTTGCTCCTTCAACTGCTTGAATCTAGTGCAATTATCACTAAATTAGGACTACAACAAAAATAGAAGATAATTGCAAAGAATGTATCTAACCTTTCACCAGGATGAAGTCCTTCTGGAGTCAATTTTTCTTCTTGTCTGGACTTCTTCTGGGTGTTGGATCCAGATACAGGCTTCTGCACTTGGACTTCTTCCTTAGCAATATCACCAGTAAATTGCATAACTGGATTCTTGGCACCCCCTAACTTCTGAAGCAATACTTGTTGTATGGTTCTCAATATATTATTTGTGAGCCTATATAAGCACGACTAATTATGTACCGAAACTTGGACTAACAACAGAAAGGCACCTCAAAAAACAGCAGTTGAAGGGCTCACTATCTGCTCCCCAGTAAAGGCTAAGATCAGAAAGAACAGAAATAGCAAAATAACCAATCATCAGAGGAAGGAACTTTGTTAGTGCTTGTGAATTCTTCAGATTTGGATCATTACTCTGAAAAGTAAAAAAGCAATGTCACCTGATGAATAATAAACTGGAAAAGCAATGTCACCTGATGAATAATAAACTGGCGTTCAGCCAAAATTGGTAGCATACACATAGAGAAGGAGAAAGCCGAAAAGATTGATGAAGATGAAATAAGAATCAATGAAAAGAATCAAAATCCAAAGGTTTCAAAATTTCCCCATTATGTATCCCAAACTGTATAACCTACAATTGTTTTTTGTACAAACATAGATATAAGTCATGCGATATCTGACTTCATCAAATGACAATCTTCAACTTACTTGACTTCAAGATCGTGAAAGGTGATTGTTCATGATTGTTGGTTTTATAAAAGAGAAACGTTCACCAAGATGGAACTAAACTAATACAAGAAATAATAGATGGAACTCAGTTTGAATGTACATAGAGAGATATACAACTAAGCCACAACTTACCTGTGATGACTGCATAATCTGGACAGAAATGTACTGAGAGACAACCAGCAACACGGGCAAAATAAGATATGCTAAGGTATCTGACCATCCAAGGGGTGGATGACCATCCTGAAAAGAATATTTAAATGACAGATAAAAATGTCATGCAGGATTGATGCAGCTGATAATTGATCAAAGTTGTTCTGCAGTTGCAATCCAAAAAGAGCAATCAATTCTGGTTCTTTTTTCTCTTTCTTTCTCTTTTGTAAACAAAATATCTAAAATATTCATATGAATTTTTCCTGTCAAACAGCTTAAAATTCAATTATGGGCCTCACAATGAAAGGGAAGAGCCAAGATATGCCAGTGCCATTTTGTCGTGCAGCAATTGTAGTTGGACCAGCCAGTGACGGAATCCAAAAGAAACCTTCTGTAAGGAGTCCCTTATATTAGACACAAACATTCAATTACAAATCAGCAAATTGCGTTAAAATATCAAGGCAAAGAAAAATGTATGATAAGTGAGAAATTAAAAAGAAAAGCTCACTACCTCATCTGCAACATTTGAAAGGGCTCTATATAGCCCAATCCACACTGGTATTGTGGCAAGTGTAGGAAGGCATCCTACAAAATTCCAGCAAATTATTTAAACCAAACTGGAGAATATAGAGGGAAAACTTGTAGCTTCATAGCTTTGTTCAAGGACAAAATTCTGGAAGGTAAACAGACATAAACTATCAACTGAATTTGTAAAAGAATGTACAATATGTATAAATAGGGTTAAATTAGATTAAAGAGTATTAAAGTAAAATACATCCCTTTGTAATTAATTGTAACTTTCCTTTTCTTATCCTGAGACTGTATATATAGAGATGTATTGTTCACTGAGAACACAACATAATTGTTCCTGACAAGGCATCAGAGCCCTAAGTAAAAAATTTTGAACTCTTTTATAAACCCTACTCAGTTTTGATTGTTGAAATAGGAAAAAAAACCCTAAAGGAGAGCCACCTTCTAGTTGGCCACCACAACAGCCACCACCACCGGCCTTCATAGCTGGAAAAACAGTCAGCCCACTGCAAGCCAGACGCGCGACTCATTACCATCAAGGGAACCAACTTCGATAGTTGTCCCTATTGCGCCAGCCCCAAACATGGGCTCCAGCAAGTCCAGCCTCATCCAGCCTTCTAGCCGGCCAGCCCTTCAACCGCTGCTCTCATCAGCCGTGCACCAGCCATCCTACAGCTTCTGCCCCAATAGCGCCTCACAGGGGAGCTGCCCACTCCAGATTTTTCCTGTCGCACTCTGTCCACCTGCACAGCATCGCCACATCTATCCTTTCCTCAAGCAAGTTTTGTCTCTGTTCTGTCCCTCTGCATCTGTCCCTGCACAGCCGTGCCTTCACCACAGCCAGCTTCTCACTAGCCACAAGTCTGTCCAGCCAGTATGCTATAACTTTTCTTTATATAATTTGGCCTTAATTTTTTTTTTTTTTTTGAAATAAAAAGATGTTAAGTGTATTGATGTGTTGGCGCCAAAAGGGCATGACCCATGTACAAAATATTTACAAATCAATAAGTATATCTAAAATGGAACCAAAATCATCCAAGTTCTCAAGGTTAAGTCCTAGAACAATAAAACCAAATTCATCTATCCTTGATATTGACAAAATTATCTTCTTTCCCTTCAAAAGCTCTATTGTTTCTTTCTTTCCAGATGACCCAGAAGATGGTAAGTGGGATAACTCTGAAATATTTGTTTTTCTTACACAGTTCTTCCCGGGCCTTAAATTCACCACTAAGAGAACCAGTCATAGCCCAACAGATACCCAATAGCCCATAGACTAGAGCCCAAAGATTGTACGTGACAGGGCACCACAGCAATAAATGGTTGAGGGATTCTGCGTCACTTTTGCAAAGGAAGCATCTATTAGTCAAAATCAACCCTCTCTTCATGAGATTATCAATAGTCAGGATATGTTCTTTCACAGCTTCCCAAACAAAGAAAGATATTCTAGGAGGTGCATTAGTCTCCCAAATCATCTTTGTAGGGAATTCCATACTTTCCAATCTTCTATTACCATGAAGGTAGAAATATTTAACAGAAAAATGCCATTTTTTTTCAAAGACCATAGTAATTTATCATTCTTGTTGCTGAGTCGAATGGTGGCCAAAAGCAATCATAGGTCCTCATATTCATCAACCTCCAAGTCTTGCAAGTTCCTGTGAACCACAACATTCTAAACACTGTCGTCGTCATCATCAAAAAGCCTTTTAATGAGCATATTCTTGTCCTTGGAAATAGCAAAGACCAAGGGGAAATGAGTCTGAAAATTAACAGAGCCACACCAAGTATCTGTCCAGAAGCGCACCTTATTGCCTTTACCCACTTCCCATTTTCAGCATTCAAAGACTGATTTGCTGGTTTGCAAAATACCCTTCCAAAGACTCATGCCATGTGTGCTGATAATTTAGCCTTAATTGTCCTAAAAGACTATGAATTATGTTCGAAGTTACGTCTCAAATCACCAGTACAATTTCTACATGGGAAATTCTGAACAAACTAATAGAGCATTCCAGCCAATCCAGGTTACCTATAGTTTTAATTGCAAGAACTATTTGAATTGGTCACAACTGATTCAGATCATTCTTGAAGAGGATTCAATGATAATGGTTTAGCTCTAGAATGCAATAACAGTAGAGATAAACAATACCATTATGTTCTTAACCATCGTAAAAGAAGTGTGAGATTCAATTGGAAAAACCTACTCCAAGGTAGAAGAGGAAGTTCTAATCTATGATCTGCCTGTAAAAACTTGGTCACCGAAACAGGAAAATAAGTCAGTCATAGAGTATGTCAACCTATTGAAAAGCTTGTGGTTAGAAATGAATCAAAATGTTTTTTCACCATGGAAAGCAACAAAGATGTCACTACGCTGAGGAGGATGGTGGAAAAAGACAGAGCATATTAGTTCATAACAGGACTTAATGAAGAATACGATAAGGTAAGAATTCAAATTCTCGAAAAAGAAGAATTACCATTTTTAGATGAGGTAATATCACTAGTTAGTACTGAGGAAAGCAGGAGAGGAGTTATGCTAGGCCTCACACTACTGAAAACTCAACAATGGCACTAAAGGCTCTAAACCAAGTAAATAGGTTAAAGAGTCGAGTAAAAGTTATGACAATTTATGGTGTACTTTCTGTAAGAAACCTCCACATGTGGAAGATAAATATTGGAAACTCCACAAAAAACCCACTCTCTCAAGCAAATAATAGGAATACAAGAACACCCCACAGAAGCCTTTACAGACAAGTCCATGCAGTTACCCAGCAGGAAGAAGAGAAGTCCTATGAACTGAGTGAATTCAAGACTGAAATTGAACGGTTAAGAATGGCTTGAGAACTTGGAGAAACCCACAGGTAAAAGTCTGTTAGCACATTCAACTATGTTTTCCCATTCACATGATTTAAATGTCTCAGATACATTATTTGCGAAATCATGGATTATAGACTCCATGGGCACTAATCATATGACCAATTTCTAAAAACATTTTAACACAAATTCCCCATATCCAAGTAATAGATGTGCCATATGTCCTTAAATTTTGTACCAATCTTGTATCACTTATCAAATTGACCAATGGTCTGAACTACAAAATAACATTTTTTTTTTTGCATTGCAATTTTCAGGACCAAAACTCGGGAAAGATGATTGGATATGTTGAAGTCACGAATGAACTATAATACTTGGATGGGCTGGACTATCTCTCTCTACCACAACTTTAAACCTTACCACCAAACTCTGGCTCTACCACAAACGACTTGACCATCCTTTTTTTTTCAATTTGAAGGTCATGTTTCTTTTTTTATTTAAAGAGACTTTGTTGATGGATATTTACATTTTGATACATACAAATTTACTAAACATAAACGTGTAGTATTTCTTAATAGCAACAAAGCAAATAAGTTTCCATTTTCATTAATCCATCATGATCTATGGGGACCTGCCCACACTCCTAACAAATTTGGGACTCGCTAGTTTGTGTTATTCATCAAATGATTACACCAGAATCACATGGCTATTTTTTACTTAAGTCAAAATCTAAAGTGAATCACATAATACTTCAATTTCGCAAAATGGTCAAAACCCTATTTGAAACTCACATAAAAAGATCCTGCACCAACAATGCAATTTTTTTTAAAATCACACGTTCTCTTCTTTTTTCAACCAAGAAGGGATTAGTCATGAGTAATCATATATCCACACTCTACAACAAGGGTGGCAAAATGAAAGAATAGTTACATCCTTGCTACTAACCGAGCCTTCTCATTCTAGAACCATGTCCCTAAATAGTATTAAGGAGAAGCAGTTCTTACTACTACCTATATTGTCAATCTATTACTCCCTCGTGTCCTTGATTTTAAAAACCCTTTGAAAACTCAATCCAAATTTTATCCAGAAACCAATATCACAAACCATCTAGTTCCACTGATATTTGGGTGTATTGCATTTGTTCATGACCATTCCCGCTTGAGAGAGATACAAGTGTTGTCATCTATCTATGCAAAAATTTTACGTATCTACAGATGTTATCTCATTGAAAATCTAAATTTACCCAATCTTATTTTCAGGAGGAGCCTGTATTTGGAAGATAAAGTTACAAATCTTTCAGCAGAACTCAACTTTTCCCAAGTACCATCTTTGATACTAGAGAAAATCCTCACATTCAGCCTACCCAAGAAACCTTACATGACCCGAGATTTACTCAGGTGTACTCAGACGGGCAGAATTTGCGTTCTGAGTTGAGGCAGGTTAAAGCATCATAAACAAGTCCTAGAACTGAGATAAGTTCCATAGACCCTATACAATATGATATTGATATATCCATTGCAATCCATAAAGGTTCAAAAGGCCCTATATAATCTAATATTGATATATCTATATTACAATCCATAAAGATTCCAAAGACCCTATACAGTCTGATATTGATATGTTCATTGCAATCCGTAAAGAAACTAGAGAATGTGTCAAACATCCTTTGTGTCCAATTTTACATTTTACTCCTTATACAAATGTTCACAATCTTACAAGAACTTTCTCATGAATCTTAATGCTGACTCTATTCCTAACATTAAATATGAAGAATTGTCCAGTGAGAAAAAAAAAATCATGATCGTTGAAATGTAGACACAAGAAAAGAACCAGACATGTAATGTAGTGGACTTACTAAAGGAAAGAAGTTCGTGAGATACAAGTGGATGTTTACTGTAAAAATACAGAGCATACGAAACAATTGAAAGGTACAAAGTAAAGCTAGTGCAAAAGATTATACTCAGACTTATGAGATAGAACTATCAAGAGATATTCGCGCCAGTTGCAAAAATGAACAGCGTGAGTTTTGCTATCTCTAGCTATCTACTTCAACTAGCAGTTACACCAATTTGCTATTAAAAATGAATTCTTGCATGGTAAGTTACAAGAAGAGATCTACATGGAAATCCATTAGGATTTGCCAAAGAAATGGGTATAAATAAAATGTATAAACTTAAAAAAAAAAAATTATGGGTTTAATCCATCACCTAGAGCGTGGTTTGGAAAATTTGCCAAAGTTGTGTTACGCATGGTATATAAACAGAGATAGAAAGATCACACCTTATCTATCAAGTACTCAGATTTAGGGAGAGTTATAGCTCTCCTAATATATGTTGATGATATTATTGTAACAGAACGATGAAAAAGAAAAACTGATGCTCAAGCGTTGTCTTGCAAGGAGTTTGAAATCAAGAAACTAGAAAGCTGAAGTACTTCCTAGGAATCGAAATAGCTCATTCAAAATTATAAATCTTCATCTCACAACAAAAATACATAAATGATTTGCTAAAACATACAGGTAAACTACCATGTAAACTAGCTAATACACCTATTGACCACAATTATAAGTTGTGACCAACTAACGAAGATACAAGAATAGATAAGGAGATATATCCGAGACTAGTTGGGAGGTTAATTTACCTATTGCACACAAGATCTGATATTACTTATGCAGTAAGTATGATAAATCAGTTCATGCACAACCCTAAAAAGGTACATTTATAAGCAGTCAATAAAGTGTTACACTACCTAAAGGGGACACTTGGGAAAGAAGCTTATCTCAATATAGACTATATAGGATCAATGATGGATGGAAGATCTATTACAAATTACTATATCTTTATTGGGGATAAATTGGTCACTTGAAGCAATAAAAAGAAGAATATAGTTGCAAAATTAAGTTCAGAGTCAAAATTCCGAGTAATGGCACATGGGTTGTGTGAATGATTATGGTTGAAAAGACTCCAGAAAGATTTAAGAGTCAAATGGGATAAGCTCTTTTAGTGTGATAATAAATCGGCAATAAGCATTACTCACAATTATCTACAACATAACAATACAAAACGTATTGAAGCTTATAGGCATTTTATTAAAGAGAATTTATACAATGGTTTGATATGTATACCCTATGTGCCTATTAAGTCACAGCTTGTAGATGTGTTGATCAAAATCTTGAATAATTCAGCATTTCATACCATCATTTCCAAGCTGGGGATGGATGTCATCTATTCCCCAGCTTGAGGAGGAATATTAAAGAATGTGTATAAATAAGGTTAAACTAGATTAAAATGTATTAAAGTAAAATATACCATTTTGTAATTAATACTTTATTTGGATCGTGGTGAATGAAAGAATTTTAATGTATGGTACTTTACGGGTGTGAGAAAATCATATTATTCAACTTTCAATGGTAACAAACAGTATCTGACAGGTAAATTTGAGATAAATTTTAAAACTACTAAATCGGTGGTATGTGACCAGCAAGTTACTTTTTTTTCCCTTATACCCCCTATAATATACTTAATTCCATTTTTATCCTCACAAATTATTATTTATTTTATTAAATATTAAAATTTAATTTGATTATGTGTAATAATTATTCATTTAAATACAAATATAATTATGTTGGTAAACAATTTATTTATTTTTTTATTACATACTTCTTATATACCATTTACTATTACATATTATAGGTATGAGTAAATTAGTAATTTAACTGAAAATACAACCATAACATTCTATTATCCAAACAAAAATATGTCGTTAACATACATTAATATACATTCATCCAAATATAAAAAAAATTTGTCATTCTCATTTTGTATCATTGTCATTCAATCACTATTATTATCATACATTAATTAACCATCACTAAAATTTATCCAAATAGGGTGTAACTGTAACTTTTCTTTTGTTATCCGAGAACTTGTATATATAATGTATGAATTATTCAATGAGAATATAACACAACTGTTCCTGAGAGAATGCAATAGATAGTCTCATTGCTTACTCTTTCCTACTTAGCTTTCCAATCAGGTTTCTACGATCTCTTGGAAAGACACCAAAAAAAAGCCTTCATTGACTGATAGCAACCAACAATATTAAAAAAAGAATTGAAGCTATGAACAAAATAGTTACCAGCTAATGGGTTTATTCCAGCCAATTTATATAACCTGGCCGTTTCCAGCTGGATTCTTTCCTGCAGATAAATAAAAGTGTTAAAACTTGCCCCTTCAAAAAGAACTCATTGGTTAAAAATGTTCCTATTTACAATGAGATGATGGTAAGCAAGGTGATGGATGGCTCAAATCTCCAAGAAGATTAAGTGCCAAAATCAGTTTAATCAATTAAAAGAAAAAAAAAAATCGTTGGCGTCACCGGGATGCAGTTCCCACAGAGGGATAAGCTAATTCGCAATTTCCAATAACATTTACAGTCTGGTAAACATTTGAGTAAAAAATTAACAACTTAAACATCAGAGAAAGAAACATTCGGTGGTATGCAGAGCATCATTTCACCTGATTCCCAGCATAACGTTTCTGAAGAGCCTGTACTTGAGGCTGCAGCGACCGCATAGCCATTGCCGACTCCACCTGTTCATGTTAAAAAGAAGATGAATTGCATTTGCCTTTAATATTTTAACTACCATATAGCAGAACTAATTTAGAATTTTTGAAGGAAAAAAACCTGCTTCTTCGTCAAGGGAAACGTGACAGCCTTAACAAGAACAGTAAGGAGTATAATAGCGAAGCCATAAGCATACGGTACATGTAAAGCAGAAAACCCATCTTCTAAAACCTGAAATTAAGTTTTAAAACGACGAATTTAAAGGCAAACAAAAAAAAGAAAAAAGAAGAAACCGCGACTTCAGTAATTTCATTTCTACTTGACAAATCTAGTGAATAACCTTTAGAACAGTTTCTAAGTAATTGGTAATGCCAGAAAGCCAATCAGTGTTCTGTTTGGTGGTTACAGTGGTGGATGACGAAACGGCAGCATCAGCAATCGTATAAAGCAGACTTTCCGCCTTGCCAAAAAGCTCCTTAATTACAACCTGCGCCATATCCGGGTCAGGAAGCAAATCCGGCTTGAAGCCAAACTGAGCCACACAGAGTGAACCACGAAGGGGAGGTGTACGGCTGGGGAAGCCATTGAAATGAGTCCGATGAAAATGAGGGCGTCGGTTCGTAGTAAGAACAGAGAGGCTCAGGTTTGGTTTTAACGACAGTGAAGTCGCCATTTTAACGGTTGTAAGGTTCGAGCCTCTTTTAGAAAAGCCTAGGGTTTAGCAGTTGAGGACGGCGTCTGTGCTGGATGATATCACCTGTGTGCGCGTGGGCGGCGTGCATGAGTCATACCTGGACAATCGTCAGAGAAGAACGGAGGTGAAAGTAGAGAGCCAACTTTTATGGGTTTCATAAAATTGGCAAAATGAAATGGTTTTTTTATTTTTCTTTTTTTCCACGTGAGGATTTAGGATTTCGTCAAACCAATTATTTATTCAAAGATCGATTAATTGGTGGGCCAGGCCCAAATTAACTGGACCTAAATAATGAATTAAGACAATTAATGGCAGACATTATGAAAATGAGGCTTGTAATAATCATATATTAATTTTTTCTTAATTTTAATTTATGCCCTAATCCAGTATTTTACTTTTTCCAGCAGTAATTCTTTTTATTTATGTGAATATTTTTAATATATAACGAATTTTTACAATTAAAAATTAGTAATTCGATATAAATAAAAATAAAGATAATTATTAAGTTAAAATTTAGTAGAGTTACATAAAAAGCTGCTTTAGATCCCCATTACAAATAGGTGTATATATAAATATAATTATTTCTGTAGTTAACTTCACCCACTAACTTTGGAGAGACTCGATGGGATGTCGAATGTAGTGGTGCACTTAAATTGTCACCATTAAACTCTATTATTCACGACTGCTTGTAGCACACGAACTAATTGATGGCTTCTTTATTATATATATATATATATAATAATATATGATAATTATACACTCACACTCGGACTCTCATACGCACACACGTGTGTATATATTTATTTATATATATATACATATATGAACGGTGCACATAATAATTACTAATTTTTTTATATAAATTGAAAGCAAATATATTTAATACATAAAGTTTGATATTGGTGTTACTATATCAATCTACATCATCGAACAATATTAATAGTTTTAAGAGATAAATTTAATTTAATTATTTTTTTTAGTTTATACGTTTCAATTATGTATTTTATAATTAATTTAATTATTTATATTTACTATTTTTAAAATAATTAATGTTATTTATTTAATTATTATATATTTATGGTATATAATGCATGTAATTGTAAGATATTTAATAATGATGATGATAATAAATAGTTATAAATAATAAATGTTTAATATGAATATTATTTTTATGAAAATATGCATTCAAATTTATATAATCTTTTATTATGTATTATATATTTTAATTTATATAGAATTAAAATTATAAAAATAAGTTGTAATATACATATAATATAATAATTAAAAGAAAAAGTGGCACGTGGAAATCTAGCTTTGGTTAATTAGAGAAAAAGTTTTTGAGCATATTACGCTTCCACCAACCGAGTAGTATAAATTGATGGACCGACCCCCAATCATGTACTGGGTGGTGAGGGCCCCAATCTATTCATTATTTATTACTTTTTGTTTTATGAATGAAATCGGACGGCCATGCAAATTTTTTATATTCATAACCAACGGTCACGATTAATTAATTAATATTATTTTATCATAATAAAAACAATAGGCGAATAATCAATGTATTTAATATTAAACCATCTTGTTACTATCGGCCCAAACCACTGAGCACGCAAAGTAAACACCTGCCACGTTGCCTCCTGCATGCGCCCTACTCGCCACGTGTCATCTTGCTATTGGTTCCAACTTTCCCCTTTGTTCCTCTCTGTCTCTGAGCTACGGGCTGAATAGGTGATTCATGCATGGTTGGCTTGGCAGCATGAAAGACGAAAACTTTGTAAAAGAAACAAGAAAAGAAAGAGCTTCTTTCTCTTTTGGATTAATACAACAATGAAAACAAACCCACCGCTTCTCAAATACTTTCTTCTCTCTCTTTTTCTTTCCCTCCCTCTCCTCTTCTTCTTCTTCTCCTTCCAACCTCAAAAACCCACACCCACCACCATTCCACCACCTTCCGACTCCGGCAACGATCTCCGGATACGACCGGGATATACTTCCTACGACTCCTACATCCAGCGCCAGCTCAACAAGACTCTCAACCCCAAACTACGCAGAATATGGACCACTCGTGACTGGGAGCGTAAGATCCATGTCTTCTCTAACTTCTTCCTAGATTTGAAGCAGAAGCAGCTTCTCTCCAATTACTCCAAATCGCTTTGCATCGGGGCACGGGTCGGGCAGGAGGTAGAGGCCCTCAAACGGGTTGGTGTATCCGACTCCGTGGGGATCGACCTGGTGCCGTACCCTCCGCTGGTAATAAAAGGAGACTTTCATAAGCAGCCGTTTCCAGACGAGACTTTCGACTTCGAATTCTCCAACGTGTTCGACCATGCGCTCTACCCGGAGAAATTCGTTGGAGAGATCGAACGGACGTTGAAGGCCGGCGGAGTTTGCGTCCTACACGTGGCGCTTTTCAGACGGTCGGATAAGTACTCGGCGAATGATTTGTATAGTGCGCAGGCGTTAGTGAGGCTGTTCAAGAGATCGGAAGTTGTTCACGTCCGGAAAGTTGACGGGTTCGGGTTGGACACGGAGATGGCGTTTAGGAAGAAGAAAGAGTAGGACGTGGATCCAACGGTCGTGATTTTTTGAAATATTTTTTATTTAAAAATTATTGCAAGGATGAGTTATGTGTGCATATACGTTGCGTTTAGATGGACGATGATGATGATGTCGTCATCATCATCATCAACATAAGCTTATCTTATTTAATTTATTAATCTCACAGATTTGTTGTTAGTGTTTGTATTCAATCAAAACTAAAGTCAACGGGGATACTTATCTATTTTCCTTTCAGAATTTTTAATTTATTTAAGATAATTTTTTAAAAATTATTTAATTGAAATAATTAACTGCAGATAAACTATGTACTTCAAAAGATCCGGGGTGTTAATTAGCATAAATTATAATCTTAGTAAAATACTTAATCAACTAATTTTTAGAATTCTCTCAAAAATAAATTTGTGTTACCAAATTATTAGTACAGGGTAATCTTATTCTTAAACTATAAGTAATTAACCTCTTTTACTTTTAATTATGTAATTATGCATCGTCAATTTAAAAAAAAGATGACGTTATTAGAAGCAGCTACCACTCAAACACAACAAACAAATCAGAGCCAAAAAACCAAAGGCCGCCCATCTAACACCACCTATTTCTCACTGACAGCAACTGAATATCATCAAACCTTGTTGAAATAGACATTTGATCAACTTGTAATTATAAAGGCTTCGTAAAATATTATATAGTAATTTTATTAATACAAATTTCCTAGTCCATTAATTCAAAAACTTTATCCCACTGCCGTTAAAGAAGGGATAAATAGCAGGAGGTAATTTTCTCTTAAAAAGGCAAACCAAGAAGAATAGACGAGGAACGAGAGAGTGTATAAATTGAATGGGGTGGTTAGGGGACAATAATTCTCAGTCAATTTAAAGTTTGATAAAATGATTTCTTTTACAAAATTACAAAAGAATTGAATGTTTATCTGAATTTGGAAGGAATGTCTCCTACTTTCTATTAGTATTAAGATTAACAACGAATACACCGGAGAGCAATTATTACACTTTGCTTTGCGAGACCAAATGAAAAAATACATTTTGTAAATTTCATTAAATTACAAGCCATAAATAAGAGTGCCCAAAAATATTTACTTCAAACGATTTTTCCCCCAACTTTTTAACCTTCGAGTCAATTTTCAGTATCAACTGGCTTTGATAAATTCTTAATTTCATTACAAAAAAAAAAAAAAAAAAATACTCAACTCATTATTTAAATTTCCATGTAATAAAAATATCAATTTTAAAAAATATATTTCATATTTTTTCAAAATATTCAGTTATTAAAACACAGTATTCAACTCAATAATAATAAATTAATAATCACAAAAGCAAAAGAGTCACCAAAAAAAACGACGAGCTTTTCTTTTCGACAACCAAACTCATCGACTAAGTCCAAAAATTCCAATGAAGCCAAGCTTCCTTCCCTCCTTCCTTCCCCTCTGAACTGGAAAGCTCAACATTAACCCTAAAAACTTTACATGTATGTATAGGTAAATATATGTTTCTCAACATAGGCAGAAGCACTCGTCCGGCAGCATCCAGGAAAAAGGAAGAACGAAGCCTCTGTGGAAAAGACCAGAGTAAATAGAACAAAAACTCCTGGATGAGCAAAATCAAAAACAAATGCAGTAGCAGAAAAGGTTCAATTGGCTTGACTCTCCGGAACAAAATCAACTGGCAGGTCATCGTCATCCTCGGCTTGTGATTGAGAAGCAGCTAGTTTAGCCTTCTTGTATCTGCTTGAACTTCTAAGGATTTCATCAAAAGTCATGTTCTTTGCAGCGGACGAACTGCTCAAAATACATAAATCAAATGAAGTGAACTCAACAGACTTAATTAGTCAAAGATGCTGAGTATTCCATATGAAAGATACTGAAAATGATGCTTCCTAACTCAGAGGCCTCCATCAATTTCAAATAAGAAATTGTGGCCCACATTAGGAGCCTTCAACAACAAGGAGACTCAAAAGGGTTTATTTCACATAAAGCAGAGTGCAGGCCGATGTACTGTTTATTTCTCGTAATGCAGAGTACAGACTGATGTATTGATTTCTTCTACATTAGATATAGCAATAAAACAGTAGGTATAGGTTGTAACTAAATTAGGATATAAGCCTGTGAAACGAATACAATTACCTTCGTGGTCCACACAACCACTGAAACTGAGAACTGAGTAGCACATTTAGTAATTATTCTCTTGCTTAGTTTCAACTTAGCCAAAGGGAAATCTTACTATCATTGGAGATATATGAAATGGAGAAAAAAATCTGTCATAAAAAAGTGACTGCAAGTGAAACATACTAATTCTTTTTTTTTTTAATAAGAAATATGACAATTCTTGAAGACCATCAACATTTTTCCAACAAAAAAGAAACTCCTAAAATGTGTTAATAAGCTGCCAACACTAGCAGCAAAGGCAAGCATAAGAGATCTATATCTAATCAACAGATAAAAAATAAGATCGGCAACGTACAAGGACTTTGTGATGTGTCTTCCATCATACTCCTCACTGTGAGAGCTATAAGATCCTGCGGAAATTAAAGTCAATAGAAGAAACTATCTTCAGAAGCTCAGATCATAGATACGAATAAGCAAAATAAATATGAACAAACAGTTTAATATCTCTTAACAAAAATTTGTGCTAAGTTGCTATATCGGTTGTTTTTGAAATATTGTCTTAAGTTACCATACAAGTCTCTCATTTCTATCCTCTCACCTTTTTCTTGAACAGATGCAGAACACAATTAGGAAGAGTCTGAAGCGAAAGACCGCAGATTAATGAATTTACATTATGTGTGCTCATTAGTCAATGTTCCAATTTGGGACTTAGAAGCCAGAGAATTTTTTATGGTCACTAATTTTAAAGTTAAACATACACAAATTATCAACAGATTAACTTTCTACGTAAGAAAATGAACTATTCTACGGACTCAGAACCAAATCCATAGCCATATTACCATTTTCTGGGGAGTTAAAATTTGCATCACTATCCCCATCTGAGTAATCAGATGAAATCTGTGATGGTGTTCTGGTGCTGGCATCTGAACTGCCTCCTTTATCTTCATCTTCAGAGTTCTCATCCCTAAATATTGAGCCCGATTTAGCCAATAAGCTCTTCTCCTTCTCTGATTTATTCACAACTTTGTCATTATTCTTCCTGGAAGCTCCTTTAACCGACAAATGTGATTGACCATTGCCACCCTTTTTGGTTTGGGGAATAGTTTCTTTTGAGCTATCAAAGCTAGAATTAGATGCAACATGAGCGCTGGTCCTGGAAGAATTGACAGCAGTTGGCCTTTGAGCTTCTGCTGTAACACAAACAGATTTATCAATTTTATTAGACAAAGCATTTTTTGCCCCATTTTCAGAAAGTTTTGGAATCTTCTTGTTTGATTTAGGCTTGAGCTTATCATTCTCATCCTTTAACAAAGATCTTTCTTGCTGACTGGTACTTGAATTTGCAGCATCAGCTTTTACTCCACTTTGATTGTCATTTGATTTCACTGAGCTCCGTGAAAGGAAGGGGCCATCAGAACTTACATCAAGCATTTTTTTGCTCTTCTTGATTTTCATCTCATTTTTTGCTCTGTCAAGCATCTCACTGGAGGCAACAATTTCACGTTGAGATTGGCTAGGAGAAAGTTTATCATTTACATTTATCTTCTCACTTAGGCAGGAAAGTTGAATAGAATTATTAATTTTAGAGGCAGATCCACTTTTCGAAGGCTCATTGTTGACAACATCTCCCGAAGGTTCCTCCTCTCTACTGCCTACTTTTGATGATCCAACTCCTCTGGCGCTCAGTTGAGTGGTGAGTGGATCAATTTCAACACCACCACCAATCTTAAGTTCAGAATTAGTTACATTCAATTGATTTGTTGAAGTTGTCTCAGCCAACTTAGCAATATTTGACAGTTTAAATGAATCATCCATCTGTCTTTTATTCCCAATGGAAGATATTAGATCTTTAGGAGCAACATTTTCATCTTCTGATTGCAATTCTCTGAGTTTTACTGCAGTAGAACTTTTCTTCTTCATAGTTTTCTTCCTTGTTTTCTGTCCTGTTTTTTCCAAATTTTCCTGCTTTACAATGCTGTCCTGCAAGGACTCCAGTACACCCTGGATTACTTTATCAGTTGCCTCTTTCTCAGCACTAACACTAAATTTCTCACCAGTTACAACTCTTTGAGGCACAACCGAAGGAGTATTGGCTGCAACATCCTCTATACCGGACAGATCCAGTGTTTCTCCCAATACATTTGGGATTAATTTATCAGCTGCCTCTTTCTCAGCACTAATATGAAATTGCTCATCATTTACAACTTTATAAGACATTGAAGGAGCATCAGCTGCAACATGCTCTATACTAGATGGATCTGCTGTTCCTCCAACTTCCTGAGTTCTCCTAGACTTCTTTCTTTTCTTTGAAGATTTTTCAGATCCTAAAGTCCCATTAGCATTTATTTCTCTTTCAACTAGACTGTTTGTCATTGCTTCAGGATCTTTACTCTGACATGATTCTCTTTCCTCTCCCGTTCTAGTAGTTTTATCTGTCAGCATTCTATTTTTATCCTTCAGTATGAAATCCTCCGAGGCAGAAACCCCATTCTTCTCAAGCTTGGTTTCCACATCATCTGACTCATGTTTCTCTGATGCAGATGCCTTGAAAAATTTTGCGGCATCTTTCTTGCTTCTTGAAATGCCTGCATTAGTGCTTCCCACTCCAACATCTACAAAATACCAGCACCAATATGAGAAACGGATGTTGTCTAGCTTTTTAATTAATCTTCAAACTAAAAGAGGGAGGAGACAAACTTATTAACAAAAGCATAACAGAGTCACCTGGAGACAAGACAATACCTTTTTCCCCTGCATCTTTGACAAGAGTGGAAGGCTTCTTCTCTGAAGAGGTTGTACAAGTTTCAGAAATCAACTCACCTGGGCCTCCTTGTCCATGGGTCAATTTGCCAGCAAATTCCCCACCCAAATCCACTTTGCCAATTCCCACTTTGGCTACCCCAGAACTATCCTGCACAACATCTTTTCCAGAAGTATCTGATGATTTATATTTCCTTTTCCTTTTCCCAGTGCTTACACCATCTGTCAACACATGGTTAACCTCAAAAGGGTCCTTTGCTAACTGGTCTATATGAGCATTTGAACCTTTCTGTTGGCCCCCCAAAGAGTATTGGGTAGTGGTCTCCTTAGTTGAATCAGATATCAAATGGGTATCAGTAGTTGAAAAATTTTGATTCCCATCTTTTCTTTTTAACTTATGTTTTTTCTTCGCTGGAGATGCAGAAACAGAAGCTTCTAATGACTTATTTCCTTGGATATTAATGTCATTCTCAGATTTATCATTTTCGTTATCAACACGTTCTCCCACAACTTCAGTTACCTCACCCTGAATGTTAACAATCTGTACTTCAGCACCAGATTGCCTATTCACATCAGAAGATGAACCTTTCTGTTGGGTCCCCAAAGAGTATTGGGTAGTGGTCTGCTTACTTGAATCAAATATCAAATGCATATTAGTAGTTGAAAAATCTTGATTGCCATCTTTCCTCTTTATCTTACGTTTTTTCTTAGCTGGAAATCCAGAAACAGAAGCTTCTAATGACTTATTTCCTTGGATATTAATGTCATTCTCAGATTTATCATTTTCATGATCAACTTGTTCTCCCACAACTTCAGTTCCCTCACCCTGAACATTAACAATCTGTACGTCAGCACCAGACTGCTTATTCACATCAGAAGATGAACTCCTGTGTGGTTTATTTGCAGTATTTTTGCTTCCTCTCACACCATATGATGCTACTCTGTCTATGTCAATTAAAGGATCATCTAATACTGCCGTACTTAGCTGTAGCACACCTTTAGCATTGTTCCCATCAAGATGATGGTTATTTAATGCATCTACTCTTTCCTTTCTACTTTTAAGTTTTTTCTTCCTAAGAGGTTCAGTTTTTGGAGTAACTTCCAATGACAAGTTACCCTGTGCATCACTGATCTCTTTCCTACAATTTTCATCCTTGAGTCTAGTACTTGTTCCGAGGTCATTATATTCCTTCTCCAAAACAGGATCTAACCCATTAGCGGTGGCAGCAACTGAAACCTCACAATTTTTTGCAGTATTTTCAGCTGACCCAGTATGTGTCCCGCAAAAGAAAGCCCGAAAGAGATTACCAGCATGTTCAACTTCCATCTCTGAAGCTTTTAGAACTTCTTTGTTGGAGTCGCCTGAATCATGCTGATCAGCACATACTTCAAGTTTCCTGTTCTGGTTGCTCTCAACAAATGGAGATGAAAAATCATAGGTGTCGAGTAACCTTTTAGAAGGACCATCGGCAAGACTATCAATCTCATTAGCTGAAGGATTTTCTATGATCCCCAAACAGGCTGCTTGCTTGCCAGAATCCATTTTTTGATGATGCCCGCTATCGCTTTTCTCTCCAACACTCAAGGCATCAACAGAAAGAAACCAGCTTTTACTGATCCCATCAAAAGCACTTTTTACCAACATGGAATCTGCCAGATGATAATAGTGTCCTCTGCGTTTTACCTGCAATCTTATGCACTCTGTCAATGCAAGGGATGCAGACAACAGGTATCAAGTTCAGAAAGCTTATAGTTCATGACGCAGAGGAATACCTTTATGGCATGAATTTTTATCTCTCCAATGCAAGGAAAGCATAACGGATGTTCATAAATTATTTTCTCTGAACAGAAGCAGAATACAGATGTCATTTCAAGCAGAAAATAGCAGTTTATAATTCAAATTAGTCTACATTGCTCATAAATCATATACGAGCTTGATATAGAGATGATTCCAAACATTTTGTCCACAGGCATGAAAACAATTTGAGAAATAAAGAACTTTGCACATCAGTACCAGCATAAAATGCACTGAAGATTGTGCGAGGGACCATTTCTACTCCCTTATATCACATGGTATTTGCAGTGAACCTATACACTCATTCATCTGCTTGAGTAATTCTAACTCTTTGCGAACATAATGTTCACTTGTTAAAAGTGAATTTGGAATTAATACTTTTATCCTTAGGGACTTCAACAAATGTTATGTACGTCATCAGTATATTGGGTTTTGTTAGGGTTTCTAATATTGACATTGCGGGAAAACTACATTATCGACTATCTTCATTGAAACGATGAAAGATCCTTGTGAAAGCAGAACTCTCCAAACCAATGTCACATTAAAAAAACAAAACCTACGATTATCCGTTTGCAGCTTTATTGAACACTCAAACTCCAAGAAGTTCAATAAGTTGAGGGAAAAATAAAGTACAATAGTTTTACAAAGCACTCCCAAAATGCAAGCAAAAAATTGGGAAGAAAATTCTAAAGGAAATAATTAGAAACTAGGGCAAGAATTAACAAAAACCAAATCATTCTAAGACAAATGCAATTGTCTTGCTTCTAAAACCAAGTAGCGGTTGGATTACTACTATGAAACTCAAAAATGATAAAGATGCAAAAAGTAGTGCCTCGAATTAATTACAAAAACAAAGGGAAGCACAGAAGATTACTCTTAAGATCAGAAACAGTTTCGGTGTCGGAGACGATCGTGGCGAGGTGAGTGTCGAGGTTGGTGTCTATAAAGACCGCAGCGGGTGATGAGATAAGACCGGAATCGGAAACAGAACTCGGTTTCTCCATTGAGTCACTTCTTTCCGACTCAGAAATTAAAGAAAAAATATTGAAGGATGAGAAACAAGAAAAGCTTATCGTTCAATGTGCTAACGCAGAGCAGCGTCTGCGGGGTTTATTACGGCGGCAATTAGAATACGAGAGGATGCTTGGCAGTCGAGAAGAATTAGGGGTGCGCATTACGCACCCTGCGCACGTTTGACCAGGTAATTCCTTGTTTGTTTTTTTTTCCCTCTAAAAAAGAATGAAATATACTGGAAATATTTATTTAAAAAAAAATATGAAGAAGTTGGCGATTACTATTACTTTTTTTTATTATTATTATATTTCTACAGTTTGATAAATAAATTTTTTAGTCAGTGCTCATTTAAAAATTATTAAATCACACGTATTTATTTATTGTTGTTTAGTAAATTATATTACTTATTTTTAGTATTTAAGAATAAACTATAAATATACAATTATGTAAGTATCCCTAATCTCTATATTGTACCTAATTTTTTTTTTTTTGTTAATTACGTGACGCAATCATAAATGAACCCCAGTTATTTATTATTAGTTATCTTAAACCCCGCTCCACTGAATATGTCAAGCAAATACATGGTGTTTCAAACATAATCTCCCAAAAAATTATTAAATTTATAATGTTACTCTCGACAAACATAAATAGATGCCACAAAATAACACTTGAGGAAAGCAAAAATAAACCGATTCAAGAACCTGAACTCAAAATTAAGCAGTCTGAATAGTTATATTGGGGGGGATGCAGTAGAAATGTTTCAAACATAACTTCAAGTTAAATCAGCCTGACTGACTATTCCTTCATTATATCTATTCCTTCTTCCTAGCATCTTTGAGTTGTCCCCTTTTTCGAATTCCGAGACAAAAGTGCAGACGCCATGCATCAACGATACTCTCCGGCAATAAGGATGCCAAACCCCAGAGGAGAGTGTGCGGCCAGTATGGCGTGCAACGAGGCTCATAACCTATCCATTGCAAAGCTGCCTTAGCATAACCATCTGACGATGGAACAAACAAGGAAGATCTCCTGATTGATGCCATCTTGGTTGCTACATATAACGGAACCTACATTGACAAGTCTGTTGATTAGATAACACACCAAATGAAATAGTGGAGTACCAAATTTTCACAGCTTAAATGGTTTAGTTGGCAACAATGGGTTATATGATTAACGAAAATCCAGAACATGTAGTTTCCATCATACCTCTTAAAAACACATTCACTGTAACATTCATGTAAAATAAACTACAACTGCTAGACAAAAACCAATACTTCAAATGCAGAAGTTACAGACAGGAATTCCAGATATAAGATTGTACAATAAGGCAGGCACTGAGAATTTCAACTCAGATCAACCAAGTTGCATCATAACTTATCGATGAAAGCCACGTAAAATAGCTCAGCTCAAATTGACATCCTTACCCTGTTGTAATTGGAGATATAATCTAATCTCACCCCAATTAAGGAATTTAACATCTCACATCTATAATGAAATTGACAAGATTAACAGGCATGGGATGGTATTAGTGCTATAAATCCAGGAAGAAGCTCACATCCGTCATTTCGTTGGCTATCATCTGCTTGAAGTGGTAAGAAAGGACCAAAAGGAGTTTTCTTGGCATTGGGTCACCCTCTGCTCCTACAGGAGACCATTGTTGGTTCTAAACCTAGAGTATTTTTCTTAATGGTCATCCTCCTTACTCCTGAAGGGATCTGAGGAACCTTCGCAGATATTTGGCATTCTTTTGGTGTCATGTAAAGCCTATTCTTTTATTTTATTATTTTTTTTTTAAAAGTGAAGCCTATTCTTGCCTTCCAAATATTATATTACTCCTTCCAAACACCCATTATTTTACCTCAATACCAATTAGTCACTTTAACAAAAAATAATAAGAAACCACTCACTAATTTTTCTCTATTGATTTAAAACATTTATCATTTTACATGTTCAATCATCTATTAACACGTATATTTATCTTTTTCTTTTGGTAATAACAACACAAGTATTTTAATTTTTAGAACAGGTATTTTTATCCAAATACATAACTCCTGATTTTTTAAATTGGCATAGAATGTTATAGAGGGTGTTTGAGATTGCCTATTTGCTTCTTATAAGCAGCTTTTTAAGCACCCTTCTCTAATATCCCCATTTGGTAAATAATGTCTATCATATACTTTTTTCTTTTCGAAATAAATGTTTATCAGAATCTTAAACGCAAGCACCATACTTTGAACTGTTAGGTTCTTATGTTTTTATCGAACCAACTTACTTAATTACCCTCCTGATGTGCTCTTAAAACTAACAATAACAATATAATAACGTAAATTGTAAAATATTTGAAATATATACATAAACATATTCTTTATATAGCAATCTAGACAATCTTAAATTATTGCTTCAAACGTATTTTTTTCAACAGTCCCAAAGCTAAAAGCACCTCTTATTTTAAGCACTTTTCATTTGGCAACCAAAATGTCCTTGAGAAGTAGCAAAGGAAGTACGTAGAATTATGTGGTATATGGGCAAGCTAATTGCTCTTCCCGTGGGACTAATGGAATACACCAAACATATATTCTAAGAAATACATTTTAATAAACATCCACAAGATGAATCAGAATCTGAGTGATGGTTGTATTTGTAGGCCTAGCCAAAAACCTAGGCAGTCTATTCATTACCATAAGGATGAATGCAACCTTATATACCCACCCTAAGTTGCTTATCAAGGCTGTAGAAATTGAGTAATATTGTAAGACTTACTGATTTGTTACAGCATATCCCAGATTGAAGAGCCACGTATGAGTCTCAACCTAGAGATAATACAGGTAGGAAAAATGAATCTAGTTTCTCCTTTTCTGCCCTACTATCTCCAACCTAGCCACTTCAGGCTCTAATGGTTCTTTCAGTGTCTTCATCTAGTGGTCTTCCATACAGTGTCAAAATTCCTATCAGCAAGGATACTTTTTTTAAAAAAAGAAATAACCCTATAGCAGGACACATGGCTTCTAGTTTCCTAGTGTGTCCTTACATAATAACATTCACTACTCCATGAAAATACAAGAAGCAGATAAATCACATAGAAAAATTTAGGGGATGAAGAGACATAAATAGAGGCCTTGAGTTTATTAAGCATCATGTGAATATGG